AATTAATAAATAATACCAGCCTCACGCAACTCTTCGATAATCGATACGATTTCGTTGGAGTGACTGGGATTACCTGCTTCCTGAGACGCAAGGAGCAAACGAAGACGGTCTACAAATTCATTGGGATCGTCCCAGTACACGTAATTCGTTAGTCTGTCCTTAGCATGCAATAACATTTTTAAATTTGAAACTCTTGCTCCTATGAATATCACGCAAGGAGCAAACGAAGACGGTCTACTAATTCATTGGGATCGTCCCAGTACACGTAATCCGTTAGTCTGTCCTTAGCAGCGATCATGTACCGTGGTATGATACCTTTGCCCGTTACAGAGGACTGTTCAATTAGTTTTGCAATAACATTTTTAAATTTGAAACTCTTGCTCCTACGAATATCACCATCAGGTTTATAGTACTTTTTATATGCATTCGTTGTTATAATAATGTTTTTGTAATTGTTCAAGTCAACTTGGGTTACATGAGTCTCGTTAGGTATCTTCCTGAACAAGAGTTCGATCAAATCGTTAGTTTTTGGATAACTGGTATCGCCTATATGGACTTGATCACCCTCAAAACTTATAGGTGAATCTCCAACCATCAACTTCTTCTTGGAAAGTTTACGCACACCATAGGTAGTATCCAATTGTTTATTCTGCCTCGATAGCAGCATATTAAGATACCGTTGCATCGAATCGTTTTGATTAACGGGTAAATCCATGTCATTCTTGTATCCATCATCACCATCACCATCATCATCATTATTATTATCATTATCATCATCTTGAATATCACTGATTTCCCCGATAGTGGAATCATTTTTGAGCGTATTAAAGGATTCATTCGTTGTTTCAAACGTATCATTACTTCCTACATTATGTTTTATTTCATCTTTGATTTCATCTTTAATCTTATCTTTTACAGTATTATGCTCTGTTTGAGATACGTTCACTAGTTTCTGCAGTGGAGTCACTACCGGTTTGACCACCTCACTCATCGCATGATCGACATTCTCTTTACCCAATTTTATCATTCGATGCTTTCTACGAATCGAATCGCTAGCTTTAGCGATTTGACGCAAGATGTTTTTCTGCTCTTCAAGTTTTTCACGCTGCATGTTGCAATCACTGAATCCAAAATGCTACTGTATCCATTTTTTCGATAATCACTCTTTTATGCTCACGAAGCAATCGAATCCTTTTCTATATCGACCCTCGTTGAGTTCGCTATCCTTGTCTATTACGAGAAACCCACATTTCCTCTCGTTCCAGCATGCCGAACATACGTCTCTGAACTGCACGTACGTCATATCAGTGTTTACATGATCATCGTAAACGTGCTTGAGATTCATTTCATCCTGCTTAAAGAGCACAAGCAAATTAGCATTATCGCGTACGAGATGTTTGGGAATGCGAGCGTAGGTCTGACAAAGATAGAAACAGTCATCATCTCTGTGTCGCCCCATACTAAAGAAGGTCCTCATGTTATCTTGTTTCTCGCAAGCTATATCATCGTAAATAATTATTGAATTGCGGCGTGCCTCGTTTGGTGGTAGCACTTGTTCGTGTTCCGTAAATGGAAAATATTCAACACCATCCACGGAATCGAGTAAACCTTTTAAAAACTGATATTTTAAAGAAGCGTACTATCCTTGTCTATTACGAGAAACCCACATTTCCTCTCGTTCCAGCATGCCGAACATAGGTCTCTGAACTGCACGTACGTCATATCAGTGTTTACATGATCATCGTAAACGTGCTTGAGATTCATTTCATCCTGCTTAAAGAGCACAAGCAAATTAGCATTGTCGCGTACGAGATGTTTGGGAATGCGAGCGTTGGTCTGACAAAGATAGAAACAGTCAACATCCCTGTGTCGCCCCATACTGAAGAAGGCTCTCATGTTATTTTGTTTCTCGCAAGCTATATCATCGTAAATAATTATTGAGTTGCGGCGTGCCTCGTTTGGTGGCAGCACTTGTTCGTGTTCCGTAAATGGAAAATATTCAACACCATCCATGGAATCGAGTAAACCTTTTAAAAACTGATACTTTGGTTGATCCAGTGATTTTGAGTATACGTAGACGTTTTCGAATCTCAATCCATTGGGGTGCGTTATGAGAACGAGCAATGCATTTGTCTTGCCGCAGTTTGACGGGCCGCAAAACACCGCGCG